TTTACTTTCTTCTTCTCTCTCTCTCTCTCTCTCTCTCTCTCTCTCTCTCTCTCTCTCTCTCTCTCTCTCGTGTCGCTAATATATGTCTACGGGTGTATTTACTATTAGATTGGGTTTCCTTTACCTGCTGTAGGAAATCGTTCTTCCCCCTCCGACGCTGCGTCCAACAGTAGAATGATTTATAATCGGTGAAAATATTTGCATTCACTTACGTACATCGCATGCAAGCACAAAACGTCAAACTCGCTCGAAAGTTATTTTTTTCTTTTACCGAATATCCTTGTTTTCTCCAGTTAATTAATTTGCATGATCGCGCAATTTTCCGCGTTATGAATTGCGTTAAAGGTTACCGTTCCTTTCACACAATTATTATTAAATCTGATATTTCGAAGTGATATTAACGAAAAGATATGTATCGTATAAGAATTAAAGCGTAATATTCCAACTAATTTAAATATGTCAGTAACGGTAACGAAACAGGACTTTAATTATTAATCGTTTCAGGAGAAATAACGAGAAAGTCCAAGCTCACACTGACGTGTGTAACCTCCATTTCGTCCATTTGAGAGGTAAACGACTATCAATGAGCAAGACTCGCGGCAAAGTTGAGTGATCAACGCGGTTCCGTAAAGATAAATCGCCCCATGAAATCTCGCTAGTCGTGAAACGAGGAATCAATTAAGCGTGCACGAAGTCTTTCGAACGAATTTACGCCGCTTTTACGCCCGTTTCTGTATCGAACACATCTATACGCGATGTGAGCTAGAATTCGGCAAGCCGTAAGTGATTCAGTTCGCGTAATGAAGCAAATGAATGAATTTTTAACGAGAAGAAGAAAAAGCCAACGGGATATTTTCGTTATCAGATCATTTTAACGAAGAAATGTCTAATTTTTTTCCACGGATTATTGAACGGTGGTTTTTTTTTACAAAAATAAGATTAAAAAGTCTTCTACAAAATATTTGCCAAATTATATCATAAAATATTCGTTTTGACTGACAAATACATACTGTAAATGTTAAACATTATTTAAAGTAGATATTTCTGGCAATTTTTTTTAATTTTTTAATTTCAAGATAATTGTAGTTGTTTTTCTGCTTTATTCATAATATTAAATTGTATTTTGCACACATTATAAATTTATGGACTTATAAATGAGCATGATTTCAGAATGGAATGTGTCTTATTTATCAAAGTACACGAGGGATAGTTTCTGCAACGAAATTATCTGTTGGTTCTAATCATGTGTTGGCTCCTAAATAAGTTCTCTGGTACACGCAGTAGATCTACGATACTTTGACTTTGAGTTCTCTAGCAATTAATTAAGTGGTACTTCGGAAGTGCAGCGAAATCAATAACACAAGCAGCGAAGCTCTACTGATTATCCCGGAACATCTCATCTAGTTGTAAAAAGTTACTCATCAAGTTGTAAAAAGTTTTTTTCCTTCGTTTCAGCAAAGACGAATAAATTTATTAAAATTTAACATTCTGTCTCTTTTCGAAAAGTCACAAATCGTTATGCGAGTGTAATCTATCAAACAGAAATGATGGCGTGCAGTAAGCTCATTTTACTTCGACGGAGGTTAAAAATTCATGTCATTTCTCATCTCGTCTTAATACGAAGCAGTTAACTCGAATAACCCGATAACCCGTCCGTACGATAAAATTTATTCACAATCATCGCCGAACGGATCGCCGAGTAAGCTCGATCTACACTCGCACACGAGCGTCGCGCGACCGTGTAAACCGCATTCATCCACAGACGGACTCACGTTTGAGCTGGACGAAGGTGAGCTGATCGATGGCACGGCGCAACGGTTTGTCGTCCAGGGTGAGATCGAGCAGCGGCAGACGAGCAATCTCCTGTACACCCTCGGCGCCGCCCCAAGAGCCGGCGGCGGTCGCCGCTCGGACCGACAGCATGCCGCCGATTTGTAAGAAGGCCGCGCTGTCGGTCTCCTTCAGGGCCTCGATGCAAAAGGTAAGCAGTGCCGTGGTCATCTGCAGATGCGTGGCGCATCTCGCCACCTGGTCTCGCAACGAGCGCACTCTCGCCTCTCTGGTCTGTCGGGCGGCTTCGATCAACCGTGACTTCCTCGCCTGCAGAAGACTCACCAAGTTTGCCACTCGATCCTCGACCTCCTCCTCGAGCGCCACGCATTCCTCCTGGGAAACAGCGGAATGAGTTCGTTTGATTATGACGTCGAGAGACATTTTTTTTTTTTGATGTGATTATTTTTATACATAAAATATTCTGCTCCTGTAGTATAAAAAATTTATATGTAAAAAAAATTACGATCGATCATGATTTTTGATGATACTTATTATTACAAAGCTTGTTTTTACCTCGTCCGAAAAATAATGAGTTGTATAAAAATTTTTATGAAGATATTTTTTCGGAAAATATTTCTCTGTGAATTTATTAAATTAAGTTTGAACACAAAATATCATATTTTAACTTTTTTTAGAAACACCATACATACATTCTTTTACATCTACACATGTAGAAAGCTTTTATAGATTGTACGAGGAACACAGTATGAAGTTGATTAGTATGCCATGTACAAAGGAAAAGAAAATAAAAAGTTGTATCAAAAGAAATCGCATCTGTCGGCTTTTGCAGCTTGGTTCACCGATTGCAAGCCATCCGGGCATCCTTTTGTACACCCGAATTATCCCTTCGGCCATCAGAGATGAATCCGCGCCGGTGTTCTATCCTACGGAGAACTGATGTAATTAACGCCATATCTTTTCGCAATTTCACGGCCCCGTACCGCGTTGACGCGTCCGTCGACACGGAATTTAAAACGGGCGCCAAAGGCGCGCATACTCACATGTACTTTATCCGTCATTCCTTTGAGCCTTTGAATGAATTCCGTCGTCGAGCGAGCCCTCTCCGACAGCTGCTGCAGATTCTGCGACAGCTCCGTCTGTAACAGCAGAAATTCACGACACGTGAGGAAACGTGCGGTGATTCGAGGGGGATTTCGGCGGACGTGACAAAACGTTTGCGAAGATACCAATATGAAGTGAAGGAAACTTCGTTTCTTTTTTTTTTTATAAAAGAAAAACAAAAATGATAAAAATTGAATAATATTAAATGTTGAATTATAAATTGAATTTTGGAGATATATATATTGCAATATATATCTTCTTTTTGTATATATATTAATTTATCATATTTAATTTATATATGTTTCTGTATGTTGCGCAGAATGTAGATTATGTGCCTGTAAACTGTAGATTGGTTAAGGCAGTGGTGACTAATGAAGACGAATTATGTACAGTATATGACCATTCGATGTTGGATCGATATGTCACGCTGGTTTCAATGGATAAACAGTTCCCATATGTAGAGAGTTTGTACATTGAGCGCACCGTACATACGTGTAGTCACGCTTTCATGAACGAGTTCGTATTAAGTACATATCGTTGTTTGTTCAATAACTACATAAAGTGCTCTTCTTTCGTTGTGGAAAAAAGGAACGGTGTTGTTTTTACCGAGAAAATCTCGGGAATCAAACTCGGGATAGAGTAGACTAACATACCTGATCTTACCATCCCGTGAAATATCGAACGATATAAACAGAATTCACGGTATTATTTTCTATTTTGAAATATAATACGAATCTAATAAAATTACTACATTATATCTTTAATATATTCAAGTTAAAAAGCGCCTTCAATATTTGAAATAACTGACGAACAGTTTTTCTAAAAATAAATTTGATAAAAGATATTCGACTTTTACATAGTCATTTTTCTTTACTTTCGACATTCTTTTAATATCTTCGATCTTCGTAAAATTCTTTCGAAATTTGTTGCCGTTATTTCAACAAAGTCCATCCCTTATTCACTTATGTAAAATATTTTGTAATGTTCAATATTATAACATTATGGCGAACACTGAGGAACTTATAATCTGGTAGCCACCGCGCATTTACAACTACTATTAAATTTATCATTTTGCCGGGCGAGAAATGCCGGGCATCGTCTTGCAATATCGCGAATCGTTTCCCACAGTTCTCGTTTATCATTTTCTTCATTTCTCGACTTTCCTCGTCGGACAATACCTTCAGATCGATCGAACGTACGGACGGTGCACTTCGTCGAATTCACCGGAGACCAACGCGCGTCGTCGGCAGTTTCCATTTAACACGACAATGTGTGCTAGTCGAAATGGGATGCGATCGCGTACGCAGTATGCACACGATACCGGTAGACGCCGGCATTCATCATGGAAGACGCGAATTTACTCGTGCAAGTTCGCGATAAAGCCCCCACGGATTACAGGAAAATATCGGACGACATGAGCACATTCGATGTGAACGTCGTCTATTTCTTGACAAAACGATTAACGGAGTCGTATGCAAGAAACGCACATTGCTAACTAATAATTTAATTTTACTTACCAAACTTCAAAATCTATACATATAATTCCTAATTTAAATACATACAGCATGTTTATTTAAATGATTTTTGGTCGGAAAAATGGATTTGAAGTTAATTTCGTCGAGTAAGCAACACGTTTCCGAATCCGTTTACAGGAAAACTCGTTATTTTTCTCACCTGCGGCATCGCGCTCAAAATATCGAATTATAGCGCCGACAAAAGCACCATGTCGAGGGATGCCGCGTTCGACTACACCGGGACGCCGTATCCCTTTGTACGTTTCACCTTCCTCTCGGTGTCTCTTTCGCGCCGAACGCGACGGCGACGGTGCCTTTCCCTCGCGCTTTGGCGCGTATCCATTGGGCGCGACCAACGAAATCTTATTAGCATGAAAAGAGCTCTCGGGGATTTCATCAGGGCGACGAGCTATCCGACCTCCCCCCCTCCCCCTCTCCCTTCGCCTCCCCTCGGCCGCAGGCGAGATGTTCCCTCGATCGATTATCCCGCATCAACATCTCCGGAACTCCTCCGCCGGTTGTCAGTTGATCAACAAAAGTCGCACAGTAAGTTCAAATGTTGTAAAATTATCGCAAAAAGAAGAAAATGTATTGTATTCGATTTTTCGCGTTTATAAAAATAAGTCATCTCATTCCCGATAATTATTTGGTAAAATATACTGTCTGCGACAATAATACTAAAGAGGGATCTCACAAAATGCTACGAGAACCGTTGTCTAAACGGCTCGTCTGGAATTTCTATAAGTATAAGGACTCTGTACAAAAACGTTTCTTTAATGCTGATGTCGTAGCTGGGTCGTCCATCCCCGTTGCAAACGGGCACATGAATTCCGAGATTTGCGAGGCATTTCCTGCGATGTAACTTTCAAGAATAATTTATTTAAATTTCCAATGCGAAATGCGCCCTAGGAATTGTCTCGGTTACGGCAAGCGCACGACTTTCCTGACGACGTTAATTGGCCAGGAGTCGATACACAAAGACTTCGTTAACATCGACCAGAGACGCTCGTTATAACAGTCATAAAAGTCGACGGAAGAACGGTCGAACGAAACTGTAACTTTTCCAGAATGTTCTCATATATATGTATATAATACCGCGGCCATTACGATCCGTAATAAAAAAAGGACAGCCCGAGTTTATCCAACTCGCGGAGATCACCGGAGGGGCTTTCATCGCGCCTCCAGATGAAAGCTTCGTTAAAAATCCTAACGAACAGCACGCGAAAGCTTATTAAATCTGGCCGATGCTTTTCAGCAGACGCTTTTCAGAAAACGCCGTATTTACAGGGCAAACGGTAACGAACGGGAAAAGGTGGAAAGACGTTACCGGAAGGCTCTCGTGTCGATTAATCCCGACGGACGAGGCGTGCGAATGGCACAAGCCGGCGAGAAAGAGTATAAATTTAAAAAAAAAAAAAAAAAAAACGAGAAAAAGAAAGAGAGAAAAAATCAAACACGGGTGCAACTCTCGGTGATATTTCTATCGAGCGAACGGGACCGATTAATTTCGCAATTATTTCCGCGGTCGCGCCGACCTGCGATCGCCATCCGACCGCTTTCAATTTACATCGAAACACGAACGTGTCTCGCGAACGGCATGTACCGGGATGGCCCGAAAGCAGTCCGCCGCGATAATGGAATCGTGTCCTCCGCAAAGTTTCGAGCATCGCGCGCTGCTCGGATTAATTTTCGATTAAGCTCTCGCCCGAGATCGTAATCGCTGGCTCTCTCGGCCTCGGATATGCCAGCTTTCGAGTAATCTTTGTCGAACTGTTTCTTAGATATACGATATACGCATTAATGTCAGAAGTTTATGACCTTTATTAATATGAGTATTAATAAAAATCCTTATTATATTATAAATATTAATCTATAAAAAAAACTATATAAAATTGTTTACCTTTATTATTATTATTATTAGAAGTATCGATAAAAGATTATTAAAATTGTTTTGTTGTTAATTTTGGAAAGTATGTTTAACGTTTAATGAAGCGAACCTCGCGTAAAACCGCGTGACGTGTCCGTGAAAGTTAAGCGGAGGATGTAACAAAAATAATCTTACGTTCAGCTTACTTTTAATTCGTATTTCGCAACAAAGCTACGAATTAAGGGCTTGTCAGAGCCCATTATCGCCATAATGGCGAGTCAAAATGAATTTTTGCCCGTGAAGTTCGCGGAAGTATCTCCGTTGCCTCGAGCGTTTTCCGCCGAGCCCTTTACCACCCGCATGCACACGCGAGCGCACGTACGCGCGCACGCACCGACACAAACGGAAAGTTTGCAACGGCGAGTCCGTGCTCAAGCGTAATTAAGTTACTCCTTTCGAGTTAACGTCGGCCGCGCCCGGTAATTTCCGCAGTTTTCAGGGTAACTTTCCGCCAAGTTCGAGTCGCGCGCGAGGCGACCGCTGCCCGATAGAGAATGCCGCGAGATTGTTCCCGACATGCGGTCCCTTTAACGCCCCCGACCCTTTGTTATATTAATTACCGCAGTCACCGCGTTGTACACCTATAAAGAGAAGCCGCGAGGGAGAGACCTCGTCAGATTCGCGGCGAGGGCGGCGCGATCTCGCTTTAATAATCGATCCTTAATACTTTCACGCGGCCCACACGTAATTCCATTAAAGTCTGCCAGGGTTCCTCGGCACTTTCGTTATTTTAACCGTAACGGTCGGCAAGAAGCAAGGGGAGAATTCGCGAAAGGTCTAATCGAATTCCGAGGTCTACCATATCTAATTTATCAATTGGATTGACATCCCGTTTATTTCTGTTGTGTTAAAAATTTAAACGCTTTATTTATTTAATAATTCGTTATTTATATCATATATCATTAGTATTTGTCTAAGAAATATATTAATATTTAAATTGTAAGTTGAGTACGGACTACGGTAAAGAAGATTTAATACTTATCCTATTCGACTATCATCATTCTTTTGCATAATAAAAATTCATCTTTTGAAGTCATAGCGGGAGAATGCTAATAAACAAATATTACGCGATGATATATTCCATTTTCCATGGCTTAAATTATTCGGTCGTCGTGTAATTCTGCGCCTCCCCGCAGAGAATAACGTTTCGCGCAAAGTACTATGAATTTTCATGACTCTTCTTTGGCCGGGAGTTTAATACTGGTTTTTGTCAAATAGAGCCGTGTGCAAAAACAAAAATGTCAGTCGCCGGATCATCTCTATTCTGTGCGAAAAAGTGATACGAAATTGAGAGAGAAAGAGAGAAAGATAGAGCTACGGAAAGTCAATCCTTGCGAGATAACGCACGTCTGTGCTGCAGAATGCAGCGAATGCACTTGTTAATTAAGAACGCCAATCAAATTGTACGATGGCGCGAGCATAATTACAAAAGTCAAGGGTGCTCCAGGAGCAACCCTCGAGGCACTTTCACGCGACGCAATGTACCAAAAGCACCCTTGCACTTATTAAGCTCGAGAGTCTTGCCATTGTTTTCAAGATCGATCGCGATCCTGAAACACTCGAGATCTCTAACCAAGTTATTGTTACGTAACAT